CCCCCCCCCCCCCCCCCCCCCCTTGCGTGCTCACCACCGTCTCTTGCAAACCTAGGGCCGGGATAGGTACAGCGGGGGCTAAGGCCCAGAACACGAGTGTATACATCACTGGCCTGCCCTCTGACATCACCCAGGCGAAGATCGGTGGGTAGGGACGGTGGGTTGCTGTCGCTTTTTGCAACGCGGGGGGCATTTTGCCTTATCCGAACGAATAATTCTGAGAAATATGTGAAGTTTTTTCGTTCATCTGCCGGAGAAAGGGTATGTACTTCGTACGGTTTGACATTTCAGTTTAACGAGGATACATTGAATGAAAGATGAGGAAACCAACACGTTTTTTTTTTTTAACTCTACATGTTTGCACGTTGCGAACGCATTTTGCTGCGCGTTCTTAACCCCGACTGCGACGACAAAAATCTTAAAAGAGCTGGTGTTCTCCCAGCACGGATCGGTGAAGAGGTCCAAGGTCTACCGGAATGAGGCCGGCGAGGCTAAGGGGGACGGTCTCGTGACGTTCGCCAAGCCGGCTTCCGTCGACCTTGCCGTCTCAAAGGTAGGCGTAAGACTGATGGACGATTAGTTTAATTGCCGGGTTTATCGGCGTCTTTTGAAAGTATGCATGATCTCATTCAAAGAAGTACCCTTTGGAGAGATAACCACAGCAGTCGAAAGGAGCGGTGCGGAAGTATTTTCTTAAATTCAAATCTGATGTGTCAAGACAAAAAAAAAAGCGCTTGTTCAAGAACACGATCTCGTCTCAGGCTGTGTAGGAATGAAACTGTTCATTTGAAAACCTGGTCTTCGTTATCCCTAGCTCACCTCACGGCGCTTCGCGCTTGGTGATGTGAGAGCCTGGTCCGGTGATAACCCGGCGTGCTTCGTCCCGGCTTTGTAGCGAAGCGAGGTCGATGGCGTATCGGCTACGGCATGCACAGCTGTGAGTACACCCCACCCCCCCACCCCGGCCGGGTATCTCCCCCTTCCCTTGCCGGAAACAGATGAATGGGCACGAGATATCCGTGGGATATCCCATAACCGTGAGCATGGCGGACTTCAACAGGACTAAGGTGTGAGGGTGCACTTATGGATGGGGGGTGGGTGCCTGCCTTGTTTTCGGGTGATGACAATGTCGCGTCGTCAGGTGGTGTCGTTGTTGGCACCTACTGCTACTGCTGCTGCTGCGTTTGTGCGTGTTTTTTTTTTTCAGCGGTCAGCAAACGACACATCGGAAATGGCCAGACTGGGCTCTTTCGGCATTCTTCCGTAACGTCTCCTGATATCTACATGCCGTCATTTTCGCCAGCGGTATCTTGTACTCGTCACAATCCGAGCTCGACGCATTTTGGTTCTTAGACAACGGGGGAAGAAAGTAGCCGGCGTGCTCGCCTTTGATTGAAACCCTCACATGCCCGTTCGCCTTCCGGCGGAAGTAGCAGCCAGCGTCACGTTCGGTCATTGACAGCAAAAAGCGCCAACGGATCGTGCGTCAACGCGCGCCTTATGCACACATGCTCGTGAGGCCTCTTTCATGCGGACGGACGGACATTTGATCAATCCTGTGTTTTGATTGCCCCCGCCGGCGCAGTCGGGCACAGCGACGGAGGAGCCGCCATCCCAACAGCAGCAACAGGAAGCCAGCAGCGGGGCACACAACGGGGTGGAGGAGGGGGTGGGTGGGGGACAAGAGAACGGCGGCGGCGGGGGGGGGGGTTACGACGACGGGGCCCTGCCCCCCCTCCCGGAGGAGTGCGGGGCGGACAAGCACCCGGTGGTGGTGCTGCGCAGCGTGTACACGAGGGAGGAGTCGGAAGCCGACCCGCACTTCTTCGACGACCTCGAGGTACGGTACGGTACGGTGGTGCGGTACTAAAGCCTGCGCAGTTTTTCTATTTGGTTAACATGTTGGAATGTGGCATGCAGTCAAGGGAATTGGGTTAAGGTAAGGGTTTACTATTTGGTTACATGTTGGTAAAGCATGCAATCGGGGAAGTTGGGTTAGGGTTAGGCTCTGGGTACGTAACCCCTCCCTGCTTTGTTCTCCCGTGACACTTAAGGTTGTCGCGAAGGCGGTCGGTCCGTACTGTTGTGCCCCCCCCCCCCCCCCCCCCCCCCCCCCCCCCCCCCCCCCCCCCCCCCCCCCCCCCCCCCCCC